GAGGTTGGAGGCTCTCCCTCCACTCGGTGTCCTCTCTAGTTGTGGCTTTGTTCCGATGAAGACCCTTTTTCTCGTGATTTTGACAGGAAATGGAACATGTTCAGCTTCGGATGTCTTAGAAGGAAGGATGAAGAAGAGTTGCTGGAGGTTCTTGGGTGCGTTGACCCCGCTAAAGCACGCACCCGTGCCACTGCCTAAGCTGCGCCACTTTCCACAACAAGTTGGGCACCCACAAATTGAGTAAGTGCGCTTCAGATGACAATATAAAGTGCAAACTCAGCATCAAGTTGAAGGTGCCTGCCAGCGAGAGACGGTCGTAAACGGCAGAGTTGTGTAGGGCGGAGGTGCATGACGCTGATTGGTGGAATCGCTCGCGCGTCTGTCATATTGTCCCACACCTGAGCAATTATACACCCCAACCATCCCCTCTCCTAAAGGATGCAGTGCTTTCTCCGAAATCCGGGGTTTTCAAAGCCGTCGCACTGCCGATGCGCTCTGCATGCACGCCACCATGTACTCCAGTATGTACCCCATATTAACGTTTTTTGAACACTCCCGAGGTCCACCAGTCAGGGTAGCTATCCCGCGCCTTGCAAGTAAAGAGCTTGGCTTGTATCGCGTGGTGCACTGCACGAGTTAACGGAGAATGTATCTTCCACTCTGCAATCGATCGGTCTTTTCGACGCCCTAGAGTCCTTCTGATTAACGCATGAAACTCCTGGTCTTGGAATTCTCACCTGTTTACTGATCAGTATCCACAAGGTGGAGGACATCATCCTTCGGTACCCATCAGAATCCTGCGCCTTTGCTAAATAATCTCCGCAGCCTATTACTGCGTCATGGTCTTTCTCATATAGTCGCAGTCGTGCAACATGAGCTGCGGAGAAAGTATTGCTCATCAGGCCGATTCTAAGCGACGTCGTCAATGAACAGCGTGAATTCTTGAATCGTTGAGAGCCGGTTCCTTCGCAGTGTCCCTATGAACGACAGTTCGAGTTGTCTTATGCATACCAAGACACCATTCCTGACGGTGTTTCCTAGTTTGCCAGGGCCCGCCGCAAGCGGGATTCTCATCGCTAGCCCAGTTCTCTAGGCTGTATCCGTGCGGTGTCTCTAGAGAAGAAAAGTCAAAGCCAGCATTTGACTGTGATCAGTTGCCCGTAGATTAAGTAGCATAGTCGGAAGGCTGGCATGCTACTGGTGATGGTTTGCTGATATCGGTGACCAGGACAGCTTCAGAGCGCACAACTTTCCGCTATTCTCCGTCATACTGCGGGGAACGTAACCCTCTGGAAACACCAAGTCGTGTGGTATTTCCGCTATGGATAGTACCTCAATAAACCAAGACCGGACATACAGAACAGAACCGGCGAAATGCTAGTTGGCGGAAGTAATGATGGAAGAGGAAATGAGAGGAGGGTTGCAGCGCTAAGCATTGCGCTATGGCATGTCACTGTCGCCCTAATAATGCAAGTGCCAACGCACGGCGGAGTTTGCTGGGCGTTTCACTTGTGCAATCACCATACCAAAACCACGTGGTACTGTCCGATGTGCGCTTCCAAAGCGCATCCTTCAACACCAAGCTTCCGTAACAAGTCTTGGCAATGGCGCGACTCGGGCGGAAAGACGTTCGGCAGGATCAATACAGAAGTCCGCGAATGAGCGTGGAAAGATTGAGGAGGAAAGTCCTAATGTGGTAAGACGACTTGAGTTGAGGGTGCGAGGTTAGCAGTGCAGAAGGCGTGGCAAAGCTGCCTGAGCGTGCTATGGATAGAGCGGAGAGAAGGGGTTCAACTCCCTATAAGTAACGGCGAACATCCCACCGGTTAAGGTTCTATCCTTCAGCCAGAAGCATCCCGATATCCAAGGCTCCAGTAGCATTCCTTCTATCATTTCGTCTATTCCAGCTTCCGCTTTCGATCACTTTTTTCTCAACCCGAACACCATCCTTTACCATGAAGTTTGCAGGCATCCTCGCTGCGGCCACGGCCCTCCTCCCTGTTGTCCTTGGATGCAATGGATACGCTGGAGGTGTCCCTAAAGCCGTTGGTACCAAGACCAATAGCAAGGTCATTGAGGTCGCTGCTGGTCAAACCTACGATGGCCAGTGGTACCGATTCGACCGTGGTAGCGGTGCTTGCTCTGGTCAGTCCGAGGGCGGTGCTGCCGACGCTGTCTTCCTGCTCAAAGAAGGCGCTACGCTGCGCAACGTGATCATCGGCAAGAACCAGGTAAGTGTCAGGTCAAGTCCTGAAGTAGATACCTACTAAGACATGTTTAGGCGGAAGGTGTGCATTGCCAAGGCCACTGCACTCTTGAGTTCGTTTGGTTCGAAGATGTTTGCGAGGATGCCATCTCCATCAAAGAAGACAAGGCTGGAAAGGAGTCCTGGATCATCGGTGGCGGCGCCTACCACGCATCCGACAAAGTCGTTCAGCACAACGGATGTGGAACTGTGAACATCGTCAACTTCTATGTCAACGATTACGGCAAGCTCTACCGCTCTTGCGGAAACGTAAGTGATTTCAATCATCAAGATCAGGTTCCTGAACATCTGCTTACACGATCCTAGTGCTCTAAGCAATGCAAGCGCAACGTCTACATCGAGGGCGTGACCGCGGTCAACGGTGGTGAGCTGGCTGGTATTAACAGCAACTACGGGGACACTGCTACCCTCAAGAACGTCTGCGCTGATGCGAAGACCAAGTGCCAGATGTACACTGGTTGTGCTGGTGGCTGTGAGCCCAAGAAGGCTGGCACCTGCTCTGGCTAAGCTGATTTGCCATTTCGGGCAGCGTCCAGCGTCCAGCGTCCAGCTTAGTCCAAGGAATTGAAGCTGGATTGGTGAACAGATGGAAAGGCGCTGTGCGGCTCATACTTTCGTGTAAATAATTTTCTTTTGGATACATTTGTACATATCATCACTTCTTTGTCAATGTTTTCATCGCAAAATGCTTCATCGGGACGCGCTTACCTTAATTTGCGAGGCGGCTGGATGCTGTGCTGTTACCCCGTTCCCGCGCGAATGTCGACGTGGATGCTCGGCGCGGCATAGCCACTGTAACTATGCATCGAAGCCTGATGCCAGACAGCTCAAATGTATCTTTGCGCGCTCATACAATGACAGCATACATGGCCGATGAGATGTTGGTGTCGAGTCTGTTGGCGACACAAGGGGGCCACTGCGGGACGGTGGTGGGGCCGGCGCATAATCGGTTTAACCAAGATTAGAATGCGCTAAACCTCGGAAGGTTCGCGAACTCCTCTCGAAGACGCGTTCCAACCCTTTGACCATCAGCTCATCCAACCTTTTGCCCCTTCATTGCATCTGCTGATGCTATCGCTGGATCTCCATCAGCTTGCGCCTGTCTGATGCAGCATTATTCTTCCGTCAACGACCGATTGTCCAGGAAACTTCCTGATTGGCGCGGGAAGCCAGCAGAAGCAACCACGGGCACCTAGAGACGCGACTTGCCGATACACACTCGTCTCTACCGCCCGAGGAACATCCGACGGTTTGACGGCCTGTACAAGACATTGTTTTACACTGGCAATTCCAGTTTCTCGTGCAGACCAGATTGTGGTCCTCCGTACCCCACGTTGGGTCTCGGTTGTGCGAGAACGATTTTTCGCGGTCCATCAAGTACTCGTCTGAATCTAAAACAAGCAACGTCTAGGCGCAACAAAGTCTAAGACAAGCAACATCCAGGGATCAACATCAACCCCACCTTAGGGCCCGCTGTCATTCAGCATGGCCGTGAATGAGCCAACCTATCAGTTCGCTTTGACGGCGAAAGAGTGCGAAATCCTACGCGCCATTCGCGCTGTCGAGCATAGCAATGCGCCTAGCGAGCAGCCAAGATTGTGGGTATACCCATCACATTTCCTACCCCAGAACTAACATGTTCAGATATCAAAAGCTGGAACTTCAGCTTAGAGACGAGAATGGAGATTCGCTGGGAAGCTGTGACGTCAGCCCGGAGAATATGGTGTTGGACTTTGTTGCCGCTTCGGCCGCGTTTTTGAAGGAGTTGGCAAAGGAGCCTGATCAGCGCAAGAAAGACTTGGCCGAAGTTGACGAAGGTGTTCACATCGATGACCATGACTCTGTTCTGGGCTCACAGACGCAGGATACTGCTGCCGACCTCCCTGAGCCGGATAATGGACTCCAGACTCCGTCATGGGAGACATTCAGGAAGTCCAGCATCCCGCCGTGTGTCAAAGACGTCAGCTTCACTGTAAGCGAAGAAGATCTGACAACAGAGTTGCGCCAACGGTTACAAGACGACTACCCCGGCGTCACTATAGTAACACCCAAAACCAAAGCCGAAGAGGACAGAGCTCGTGAGGCTCATGCGACAGAGAAGCCCAGAGGAGTCAAGCAAATGATCATCGAGGTTGAAGAGACTGAAATTAGCGAGAATCCTGAGCTGGAAAGCAGTCTCCGAAAGACATACCCGTGGGCGCTGATGGAATTGAAGTCCGGCCCAAATATATCCAGAAAGCGCGCAAGGCGGATGACGGATAGCGACGCCGCAACGCCATCTAGACCAGACCCGGTCAAGCACATCGAAGACTTTGCCGCATACGTCTTGGACCCGCCCTCCGATGATGAATTCGGTTATCACTATCCAGTAGGCGATTGGGATCGTCTGACTTATGCGCGGAAGTTTGAAATCGCTCATGCGCGAGCGATTCAACATTACCATGGCAAGGCGGCTGACGGTGGAGGATGCAGTCAGTGTGCGGAATATGGCCATCAGTGCAGAGTCTACTTGCCGCAGCTTGGGAACCTAGCCCACATAGATTTTGGTCACACTTGCCAAAACTGCCGGCTCAGGCATCAACATTGCGACCTTCCCGCCGCCGTAAAACCCCCTCCGAGCACACCAACAGGACCAGCGGCACTCAGGCTCGATACACGGAACATCCATCACCGAGGTGAAACGGTAGATACGCCACCATTGATGAACGCCACACCAGGATCGCTAGTATCGAGAATGACGGCTGCCAATGGAAGGCGGTTCAACGATGAAGAGAATAACGGTCATACTCCAATAAGCGGGGATCCTGGCCTGGATATGATGGATTTCGCTGAGCAGATCAATCTCTTTCAAGATTACAGTAACCCCAAGGTCAAATCCGTCATCTTTGCGATGTACAGCCTCTTGGATAAACACGGCAGGGTCGAGCCGTTTGGCAAACACCGCTTGACTCTCGACCAATACTACCAGAACCTCTTCACTCTTTACATAGTCACGTATCTGCGTAAGGAGTACCACTCGGCTTATACTGTTTTGCTTCGCTTCCAGAACACGAACTACCACGAGACCGGAGAGCTGCCTAGCATAGAAAACGTCGTCCGCGCTTTTGAGTACCTCCCAACGCATGCCCCACTTTGTCGCTGGATAGTGATACTATACAGTTTCCTCTGGGGAACGCAGCACTATGGCAGTTGGGACATGTTCATGAACACGCACCCAAGTGTCAAGTCAAGGGTCCGCGCAGTCGCCAAACTTCTCTTCGGGATTTGCTACGTTCGCGATCCATTTACTACGGGAGGCGATGGGGCAGTACGGCAGCAGTGGTGTGAGGTCCACAACCATTCTACGGGGACCCGTGAACAGGAAGAAGCTTGCGAAAACATGAAGAGAGAGGAAAGGTACTCGTCACGTATCGGTGAGAAGAGAAGGAGTGATGGATCACCAGTCCCGAGGCCTTATAAAGCTGCTAGAGGAGGGCGGGGCAGAGGGAGAGGGCGTGGCCCAAGTAGGTGAGGCAAAATGGGAAGGCGTTCCCGGACTTTGGTATTTCTGGCATAGCGTTGTGATAGTGAAGTATGACGGTCTGAATGATACTTTGGGTGTCTGCTCATCTTTTGTGTCTTGTGTCACTTACTTCCCTGTCCCAAGCATATTTGACCATGCGTGTGTATGCAACAACGCTGGTTTGAAGGTGCGTCAGCGTGAGCCACGTTGCGCCTCCACAAATGAGTGAACTTAGCTATTGAAGCTTTTCTACTTCTCATAGTGTACAGCTATTAAACATCAGGTTAAGACACCCAAATCGCTTTCCGAATACATCAAAGAAAGAGCCCTTGGGTTGATATAAGCTGTTCGCGAACTAGAAGAGCAGCTCATGTGCTGTACAAACCATTCATTTAACTGCATGTTAGGGCATCTCAGTAAAGACGGGTAAGAGGTTCCTCGAGTAAACTGTGCCTACTCCCCCAATGTACACAACCAAAGTTCCCTCGCGAAAAGACCCCTCGGGCTCGAGCGCGAAAGACAGAGAAGTAAACTGTGCCTACTGCCCAATCTAGCTAGCTGCGGCAAACCAATGCGTGGAGATCTTCGCCGAAGCCATTGCGCAGATCTGAATGGAGACTTTCGATCACGATGCTACACGACACGATTTGGAAGAATGTGTAGTAATGTCTTGGAGGAAGGTGTCTCAGGCTGAGAAATCGGCTATCTAGATAGTGTTGAAGTATGTTGAGGCCGGCGTATTCTAAGGTTGCCTTGCATTCCCGAGCTTCCCGAGGTCGCCTACCTAACCCCGCACCCCCACAGACATTCATGGATGCTAACGGCGCCAGCTCTTCCTGCATCACCAACATTCTTCTTATGAGACATGGCTCTAAGTACTTATTCAATTAGCACCTGTCGCATCTAGTGCCTGATTAAACCCGAAGACTTCAATTCGCTGCTCGATTCTAATGCCCTTGCCCATCCTGTGGTACTGCCATGACTTTTCGCCGAAACGACTCAAAACCTCCTGCACCCATACCACGCTCATGCATTTGTATCCCCACTAATCAAAAGCATTACCAATTCGAACAACTGGCTACCACGATGCGCAGATCTCTTCTAAATGCCGGATCCATAACAGGAAAGCTCCTTACCTAGGGAGTGTCCACTAAGCGAGCGAATTATGTAGCATGCCAGAAGCTCCACTTAACGCTAGGTCTATCCAAAGTCCCGCTGCCCCCTTATCTGAAACAGCAGCTTCAACAATTAATGTTCTACAACTTAGAGAGTAGCTTAGCTGTTCTTAGAGTTAATCTTAGTTAATACTTGCTTAGATAGTTAGATTAATTGCAAGCTTAGCTATTCTTAGATAGTTATAGCCTAGCGCTAGCGCCTTAATAGCTACTCTACGTTTTATTCTTAACTTTATTCTTAATTTTATTCTTAACTTTAGCTAAACTAAGATTTAACTATAATTATTACTATAAATGTCTATCTACTAAACGCGCTATAAGTAATAATAAGCTAAGTTCTAACTAAGTATAAACTTATAGTAGACTAAAGTAATAGTAAAAAGAATATACTTAGTATAGTATAATCTAAGATAGCTCTTAGTAAGTATTAATATAAAGAAAGTAAAGCTAATATTAATTTAGAGGTAGTAGAAAGTAATATAAATAGTAATAGTAATATTAAGAACTTTATTATACTAGTAAAGGCACTCTAAATAAAGAATATTAGTAGTTAAGTAAGACTAGTCTTTAGTTAGACTAGTCTTAGACTATTCTTAAGCTAATATCTACTTTAGTAATAGTATTATAAGTATAGTAGTTTTTCTTTATATCTAGCTAGAATACTATTTACGCCTATTATAAAAGTATAAGACTTTAATATAGAATAGTCTTAGTTAACTCTAGTTAGAATAAAGAGAGTAAGACTTAAACTATTATATATTAGACTCTATACTATATATATAATATAAATATTAGTAAAAATATTTCTACTAAGAGATACCTCTACTAAGTTAGTACTTAGTATAATCTTAAAATAAGACACTTTACTAACTTTATAAAGAATAAGTTTACTATATTTATAGTTATAAAAAAATATATAGTTAATATCTATATAGAAGCTATAGATAGAATAATCTTAGTTATATCTTTATATTACTAATAAGGTATAGTATACTATAGCTAGCTATACTCTTCTTATATAAATAGATAGTTAACTTAGTAGATATTAGACTACTTAGGTTAATAGTATAATAAGTATAGACTAAACTTAGATAAAACTATACTAACACGTATAGTCTACTTTAGTCTAGTTTTTAAGTATACTAAGAAACTAAAAGCGTATTATAATATAAAGTAGCTTTGCTATAATTATTAGCTTAGAGCTAACTAAGTAGTAGTATCTAGATTAATACTTAATAAGGTTCTACCTCTAGACTATTACTAAATTAGTATTACTCTAGATAACGCGTATATTCTACTATTTAGAGATATAAAGTTCTAAAAGAAGTAATATTAAGAGTAAGAAGTAAGTATTAGTATATTCTTAAATTTATCTTAGCTAATAGTTATTAGTTACGTAACATAAGAAGAACTATAAGATTTAATAGAGTTATAAAAAGTACTATTAAGTTACTAGTATATAGAAATAGAGTAAGTAACTATTAGAGTTATCTTAGTATACTTTTACTTATATTAAATAGGCTATTAAGTATAAGGCTATCTATATTACTACTAGAATTTTAAAAAATAGCTATAAATATAAGATCTACTATAGAGAGAAGTAAGGTAAGTTAAGACCTATCTTAGTTTATACCTAACTAATAATACTAGTTTATCTAGAGCTAGTCTCTACGCCTAGTCTAGAGTGTAAGACTTTAGTAAAGTTTACTAATAAAAGCCTTACTCTTACTTATTATATATTATCTATACTATATATATATAAGAACTATCTTAGTTAAATTTTAACTAATAATATATAAGTAGGCTAAGTCTATAAAGTAAAAAGAAAAGAAAGTACGTAGTAAGAGTAAAGATAGCTAGAGTAAGAGTAGCTTCTAATTAGTGTCTACTAGATCTAGTCTAAGAGAAATTAAATAAGTATTAAGTTAGGTAGCTAATCTATTTAGGCGTATAGTCTTATAGCCTCTATAGACCTATTATAAAGCGTCTTATATAGCTAAGAGTAGACTTAGTATAGTCTAGTAATAAGTACTATAATATATAGTCTGTGTGTCTAGTAGCGTACTTAGTAATTTCTATTAGTATCTATTAACCTAGCTACCTATTCTCTTTACTAATCTACTCTACTATATTAACTAGAATAGCTAAATTCTAGAAATAGATTAGTTTTAGTAGTATCTAATTATAGCGTCTAATAGAAACTCTAGTTAGCTAAGCTATAGCATACTATTACTAATAATATTATTTCTAGGCTTTATATTACTAGCTATTAAATAGAAGCCTAAGAGACTAAATTATTCTTAAAAGAAATCTAGTTATAGTACTACGTTAGCAAAGCTTATATTAGTAGAGAATCTACTAGCTACTTTAGACGTGTAATCTTCTATAGACTAAACTAAGTCTAAACTAACTATAGCTACTAACTTAGCTTTACTAGTAGCGTAATTATTTACTCTACTTAAATATAAGTTTCTAAACCTAGGTTTTTATATTAAGAATAAGACTAAGACTAATCTACTAATCTTTTCTAATTCTAGTATATATATTTTACTATAGTTAGATCTAATAGAAGTGTTAAATACTACTCTAGGTAAAACTACTCTAGAGAAGACTTAGTGCAGTCTTAACATTAGTTTTATATTATCTACTCTAGCTTAAATAAATCTTTCTATCTTAGACTAGAATATATAGAATATACTAAATATAAAGAGTCTAGACTATACTTAGTTTAATCTAGATACTAACACTCTAATATTTAATAAGATTTAAGTAGCGTTTACTAGAATCTCTTTCTAAGAATTATCTTAGTCTAATTACTAAGTAGCGCCTTTATAGCTAGCTACTACTACTACTATAGACTTATTAATAATAGGTTCTAACTTCTCTATATATAAAAAGTCTTTTTAAGAGATAATAATAGACTCTATAGAATATTCTACTAGTTAGATAGACTAATTTTAGATAAGTTTATAGCTAGCGTATAATCTAACTTAGTTTTAGTATAAGGTAGTTAAAATACGTAGTATTAGTATTATTAAAGGCTTTTATGTCTATCTAGAAGGTATAGAGATTAAGTCTTAAACTAATCTATTTAGTAATTTACTAGAAGTAGAGGTAAACGTAGACTCTACACCTGCGCTAGAGAATATAGAGCTAGAACTAATACTTTTTAATATAAGTAATCTTATAGATTAGACTAAAAATGTAAGCTTAGACTATACTTAGATATAATTCTAATAAGGCTAACTCTATATAGAAGAGCTATATTACCTATAAAAGCTATATATCTAGGCTATATAGTATAACTTTTATATATATAGTATATAACTAGAGTATTCTAAGTATAAACCTAACTAATATTATTTATAAAACTATAAGAGAAAGGTTTTCTAGTACCTACTAAAAGCAAAGTATTATATATTTAATATTAACTTTAGCGTTACTAGAGTAAACTCTTAATATTATTTAGTTATAGTATATTATAAGTAGTATTACCTTAGAATAATTTTAGACCTTACTAATATAACTAGTTAATCTTTATATTCTATCTAACTACTATTTTCTATATAAGAAAAACGCACAGCTAATAGATATATCTAGACCTATCTTAGTTTAGTTCTACTTAGCTAATATAGTAAAGTATATTAACTTAGACTATACTAAAGTAAGATAAGCGTCTAGTAATATACTAAAGTATATTATAGACTTACTTACTAGTATATAGTAATTAATATAGATCTATTTTAGAGTATTTCTACTAATAAGTAAGTCTATTATTAATT